CTTAATCCTTATAACAATCCTATAAGTTGGAGCTAAAGTAACATAAATATATATATAGAGAGAGAACTAGAAAATATTAGAGCTAACATTAATTGGACAGCTGTGTTATAAGAGCTGTCTTAGGTGATCTCTGTTTTTTCACCCTCTGTCAAAATAACATGATAGATACAATCTTTTCATTTTACAGGAAACTAAGGCATATACAGATGGCAGGGCTATGTAATGCTGAGCTGTCTTCTGAACCTGAACCTACCTGATTCTTCATATGATAATACATATAAAAGAGTGTGGTTGACCATAGTTGATTCATTTCTTTGAATTGGCTATTGATGAAACCCTTAACGAGGAGTGTCTAGTTATTTTGTTTGTCCTGCTTATCCTTTTTTTTTTTTTAATTCAATCTTCTTTCTTTATTTGTTTTTTTCTGCTTATCCTTCTTTGTTCTTGTTTTCCTTTCTGAGTCAAACGCTGATACACTTTGCCAGTACTTGAGGACCATTTTCTGTATGGTTGTTCAGATTTTTGCTTATTACCTTTTTAGGTTTTGATATTTAAAAACTAACATGCCTGATAGAAGGGGTTACAGAAGCGCTGGAATTGTGACTAATTAACATTCATCTAGTAAAGCTATTTGGATATACCAGTGAATCTTTAGACCAACAGGGGAATTGTTTTGGTAAATCTTCTGAGATTTTCTATTGAATTATGCAACTCTATCTTAATTTGATATATTTTTTCTAACAAGTAAAATTACAAACATACTGTACCATAATATTACACTTATATAATGAAACACTGAAAATAAGTCTTAGTTTTAAGTGCAGTGAATAGTGCAATTCTGGAAAAGCTTTTTTAATGATAGAACAACAAGTTATATAAATGCGTGCAGACATGTGTTGAGAAACTTGGTCCCTTTCTTCAGGTAAATAAATAACTCATTCAAATAGAAAATCTTTTCTTGGGTGTGATTTCAGTTCAATATGCATTTAAAGATACGTATTTTTGTGGCAAGTGTGTGAATATTTGTACATGAGTACACTATTGTTTAGGCAACTTATGATAAAGAGACTGATGAATCAAAACCAGGAAGATTTTTTGATTATAGCTAGTATATTGTTTACACATTATAGTTAGATATTCAAATGTCTGTATGCCAATATATCAGTGTCGGTCAGTTCTGAAAAATTTATTTATTTATTTAATAATATATTGATAAGTTGGAGTTTAAATTGTTTATAAATTAATCTCACAATAAAACCATGAGGAAGTACTTAAAATTATACTTCACAGCAATTTAGAATAAATGAAACAGAAAAAAAATTGTTTAAGGCAGAGGATAATGATAGTATCTCTGCATTGGATGTTCATTTTCTGTTAGCAACTTTGAAGTACATGGAACAAAGCAGTAGAAATTACTATATATGTTTCATTTGCCTATATGCATTTATAAATAAATATTGTACTTTATTACTTCATTGCTTTATAAACTTCTATTTATATAAAATTATGTATAAATGATATATTTTGGTAAATTTGGATACTATTCATGTGAATATATATAATACATATATAATTCACTTTGATTTGCCATTATTATAGGTGTATGCACTTGTAATTTATGAGCTGTCCTTTCAAGGAACAGACTGGCCTATGATATAATATGTAACACTTTATATATGTAAATAAATGGGTTTTGAATCTAATCACTTTTAATTTATACAAATGTTTTGATAATTATATGTATTTTCAAATTATTAAACTTTTTTTTTCTAAGTATAGTTGACACATAACATTTTAGTTTTAGTTTGAGGCGTACAACATAGTGATTCAACATCTCCATGTGTTCACCGTAAGTGTAGCTACTGTCGCCATAGAATGCTTTCACAATTGATAATTATATTTTTAAATATAAATATGTGAATTAAACAATTGTTTTAATTTTAGTTGAAGCATTGTTTTTGGAATTACTTTATTTGGAAATATTACTAGTGTATAGAAAATTTTCATGGTAAATTTGGTTATTATTATTACTGTTTTTTGTGATACAGAATCAATGCCTAAGGTATATTTTGGACAATAAATTTGTAATATACTACTGCTGACTATGCAGCAGGAGTGAGTGGAACCCATATGAAAAGTATCATTAAGAAAAAGTAGGGGGCCTGGGTGGCTCAGTCAATAAAGCATAGGACACTTGATTTCAGGTCAAGACATGATCTTGTGGTTCATGGGCTAGAGCCCCACATCAGGCATTATCAGCTTGGAATCCTGTCTCTTCCTCTCTTCCCTCCCTCCTCATCCTCTCTCAAAATAAATAAATAAATATTTTTAAAAAATCATGTGAAATATTTAAAAAGTGTCTAAGCCACAAGAATTTCTCAAGGTTTACCTCAGTAATATTAGTATTATTATTGCTAATAAAATTATACTTGAGTGATTACTGTATTTAGAAAGTGTGCTAGAATCCTTAGATTTATTTTTAATTTAATCTTCATGTTAGTATGATGCATTGTGATTATGTATATAGTCTGTCTGTATGTATGTATTGTAATGTTTGTATTGATGTAAGTATGAATATATATATGATGCACTTTATGTATAGATTAGAATATTGAAACTAAGACAGATTAAGGGACTTGCCCAGGATAATTTTATAAATGTTTGAGAAGTGGTTGGATTTATGGAGAATATGCAGGCATTGACAACTTAATATATCTTTCTATCAAACACAAATCATATGATTATGTTATTGTTCTTAGAACGAATTGTAAGAGAACTCAGAGTACATTGGAAAGACTAAATGAAAACATTTGGAGGAAGGGTGCTCAAGTGGCTCAGTCTGACTCTAGATTTTGGCGCAGGTCATGATCTCAGTTTTGAGTCCAGCCCTGTGTCGGGTTGGCAGCATGGAGCCTGCTTGAAATTCTTTCTTTTTCCCTTTCTCTCTGCTCCAACCCTACTCTTGTTCTCTCTGTCTCTCTTAAAATAAATAAACTGCAAAAAAAAAAAGAAAAAAGAAAAAAGAAAAAAAGAAACATTTGGAGGAGCTGCATTTGTGATTTGATGGATTCTTTCTGGACATCTACCAGCAGATACTAGTAAATACACAAATAATTAGGGTTATATAAACTTAGATAAAATTAAGTGAGGTTTTAAAATTGTTTTGCTGTTTTCTCCTTGATGTTCTTAATTACTTGTATTGTCAATTTGTCATATTTTTAAAAAGAGTTTTCAAATGGCGAGATTTCATTCTAAGTGAAATAAGGAAGGCAGAGAAAGACAGATACCATGTTTTCACTCATATGTGAAACAGGAGAAACTTAACAGAGGACCACAGGGGAGGGGAAGGGGAAAAAATAGGTAAGGAGAGAGAGGGAGGCAAACCATAGGAGACTTGTAAATACTGAGAACAAACTAAGGGTTGATGAGGGGTGGGCAAGAGGGGAAAATGGGTGATGGGCATGGAGGAGGGCACTTGTTGGGATGAACACTGGGTGTTATATGAAAACCAACTTGACAATAAACTATATTGTAAAAAAAGTTTTCAAGCAAGGTTGAGTTTGATGTGAAATTACTGTGATATGTAGGTTTCATTGTTGTGTTTTCTATATAGGAAATACAGAAAATAAAAAAGAGAAGGTGAAAATTCAGAAGAGAAGGGTAAAAAAACTAGAAAATAAATAAAAATAATAACTAATGAAATTCTAATCAGAGAGGAAATTGATCATTATGAGCTTTGTGGCTTCAGAAACTTCCTTTCTTTGATTCGTTTGATCAAAACAATTTGTCAAAGGGGAAAAAGTAATCTAATAGAGTCTCATCTGTTCGAAATACATGAAAAATGCAAAAGTACTTTATAATTAACTTCTATAAAGAGGTCCTTAGTTCTTTGAGTTTTAAATGTGAAGATGAAAAGAGAATAGATCTGGGATAGTCTGTCAAATGAAGGCTGTAGGGATTACCAAGGGGGTAGGGTACAGATGTCAAGGTACCATTCTGTGATGGGAGCTATGCAGGTGAAGCTAGTTGACTACTCTAAAAGAAATAAAAATGAAAACCAATGGTAAGACTCAACATATTTGAGTCTACAGTGAACCTAGAGTTAATAAAGCCAGGGACAGGAAAATATATTCAAATGAAAAGTTATGGTGAAGTTTATTACACAGATACTATTGATTGATTTAGTGCAGATACAACTTAATAGGAACTGTTGCAAGATAAATGTGTTACTTTTGTAGTACAACTAAAGTTTTCAATTCTGGTTATTAATGTTTTCTAGATGAAGTTGATCAGTAAATGGTTGCTATTCTAATGGTCAGGCTCAGGCATCAGTCACAGTCCTTTATTACTTATTACAGTTATGACACCAGGAAAATATTTTTAAAGGCTTGGGAGATAACATAGTATCAAAAGATACATTAAGACTCTAAACCCTAGGCGTTATCATGAGCCCTAATTATTGTGAAGCAGCAGTAAATAACCAAAACATATATCACACTGCTGTAGAATATGGTTACATATAAGCAGGGGTAAATTTATTGGTGTATAATTAGAAGAGATGGGAGATATTTTACCCTATGTAGGTAACCATAGAGATCATAAATAGCTTGTTGCTACTGCTGCATATAAGGTATCTAATCCCCAATGTAAACATTTAGAAGGTAGAAAAAAGGGTTCTAGTCTATGGGTGACTAATAAAATAAATTCTTTCTTTTAATCTGGACTCATGTGTTGATTCTCCTGTGTCTGCTTTGGGGAATGTCTTTTAGATTGTTACTAGTCTTTATAGGTCATAAAACCCCCTTCATAGATTACACTGGACTAGGATTAGGATATAGTTCTTTCTGGTCTATATTGAACTCTTGGAAATGCTGTATATTGTATAAGAACTGTGAACATGAACATTCCATAGTACTCAGCCTATCATGGAGGACCTTGAGGGTTCTACTTTATGATGCTTCAAGGCAGTGAAGAATCACTTGCCTCTCCAGTAGCCTCTGATCATCTGCCTTTGAGCCATCAAGATGCCTCTGTCTTCTCTTCCAGCAACTATTTTATCTCATATGATAGCTGTAAACAATGTGCCTCCTCCTCCACTTCGCAGTTTACCAAGTGAGTAAGGAATACATCAAGAGTTAGTCATTGTTTTCACTGGTACTTAACCCCAGATATAAGAAATGGGGAACTTCTTCTGGAGTGCCTGAGTGACACAGTTGGTTAAGCCACCAACTCTTGATATCTGTTCAGATCATGATCTCACAGTTCATAGGTTTGAGTCCTGCAGCGGGCCCTCTGCTGACAGTGTGAAGCCTGTTTGAGATTCTTTCTCTGTCTCTAAATTAATATAATAAACTTAAAAAAAAAAAAAGAAATGGGGCACTTGAGGGTTGGTAAAATGAAGAATCTTCTTGACAGAGGAGTGATATGGGGAAAAAAAATAGATGTGCAAATCCTGCGTTGTACCCCTGAAGTCATTTCGGTCCTCTAGATTTCAAATATTTTACTTTGTAAAGTGAGGATCTTTATGAACTTTAAGGGATTCAAATAAGAAATAGTTCTAAAGAGAAAAAACAAAGATATGGAAAGATCATGTGGCTCACCAGTGATCAAACCCTTTGTTTCTGGCAGGTCTTCTTGTGCTTATGCAGTCAGTCTTACTGTCCTGCCCTTTGTGAGCTAATTAATTTTCATCAGGAGAATTCTCATAACAATTTTCAAGGAAACAAAAGAGATAATTTCCATTATTCTTCCTCTGAAATTTATTTCTATTTAATTTTGTTTTTATTTTGTAGTCTTTGATTTATAATATTATTGGAATTCCAAATTAGAGTTAAATATTTTGAAGTTTATACAATTGACAGGATTTTCTTATTTTATATAGTCAGTCTACACCCAGAACCTTTTCTCAAGACTTCTTGTCATAGCAATCAAATTCATAGATCTATAGTTTGACCATCAGTATACTGACTAAACTATGAAACAGTCCGAATAATAGTTGAGATTTTAAAAAAGCTTCAAGATAACGAAGATAATGATCTTGATATTTTTCAACTTCAGTGAAGCATTTATTATTTTTCTAATAGTCATTGGGTAAGTTTGTTGTGTGATTTGAAGAAGTTAACCTGTCTGTTCTTTTATCTTCCTGTGATAGTTAACATTTTCACATCAGTTTTTTAAAATTAATAATTATAGTCTTTAGGGGAAAAGGTGGCAGCAGTTGACACTCTTTTGAAGGGATATATTTATGTCTTAAATAGCATTAGATAAAGTCCTCATGTTAAATCAAACTAATTCCTGCATATGCTATTATGTTATTGTTATTATTGTGAAAAAATTATTGAATATAGTCAAAGTTTTGAATTTCTATGTGAATTCAACTAAATTTTGAATGTAATTTTGCAAAAATCCACAGCTTTTACTGGACAGGTTTTATTTGTACAAGAGAAAAAAAATCACCCTAAGACAATTTCTTTAGCAGCCTAGGAAGCACAGTAGCTGGGAGCTAAATGATCAAATTAATTTAGAATCAATGGGATGAGATATGTGCTACCCTCTGTAGTGTCTCCCAAGGACATTTAACTTGTGTGAAGTGATAAAAAGATGAAAAATCATCAGCAATTTGATCTCAGAACTGAATAGAGCATAATGGAAAGCAGTGGAGATCCCGGTTTTCCCTTCAGAGGTGTCTATGACTTCTCTTTGGAAATATATCCTGCTTGCTTAGTAACAAGGTCTTTATGCTAACTCTAGCAAATAGACAACTTCTCTTAGCAAACTGTTTTTGCTGAAACCATGATCTCATGAAAGCACATGTGAGGATGCTTTCAATTGATAATTTGACTAAATCTGAGTTATAAAGAAGATATAAATGGGAATGATTCAAACTGCAATGGGCATAAATAGGAAGGTTCAGTTAAGGACCTTAAAAAAAATCCAGCTAAAATTGTCTCCATTTGCAGATGACATGATTTTATATATAGAAAACCTTAAAGACTCAACCAAAAAACTGTTAGAACTAATCAAAGAATTCAGTAAAGTTGCAGGATGCAAAATTAACATACAAAAATCAGTGTTTCTATACATTAACAATGAATTTTCTGAAAAAGACATAAAGAAATCAATCCCACTTAAATAGCATCAAAAACAATAAAATACTTAGGAGTGAATTTAACCAAGGAGAGTGAAAGATTTCTACTCTGAAAGTTTTGGGATGTTAGTGAAAGAAATCAAAGAAGACATAAATAAATGGAAAGTTATCTTGTGTTAATGAATTGGAAGAATTAATATTATTAAAATGTCAACATTACCAAAATTTGTATGGATTTGATGCAACCCGTATAACAATTCCAGTGGCATTTCTTACAGAAATAGAAAAAAAAAAAAACACCTAAAAATGTAACCACAAAAGACTCCAAATAGCCAAAAATACTTTGAGAAAGAAGAACAAAGCAGGATATTACAATGCTATAGTCATTCAGGCAGGTTAGTACTGGTACAAAAAAAAAAAAAAAGCAATGGAACAGAATTGAGAGTCCAGAAGTAAACCTAACACAGTCAACTAGTATTTGACAAGCGAGACAAGAATACTCAATTTAGAAAAGACAGTCTCTTCAATAAATCATGCTGAGAAAACTGGAAAAATAAAAGGATGAAACTTGACCCCTATTTTACAATATTCACAAAAATTAACTCAAAATGGATTAAAGGTGGAAATATAAGACCTGAAATCATCAAGCTCCTAGAAAAAAAAAACTTAGAAAAACTGTTTGACATAGGTCTTGGTAATGTTTTTTAGATATGACACCTAAAGCACAAGCAATAAAAAAAGTGAGACTGTATCAAACAGGAAAAGTTCTACACTGCAGGTGAAACCACCATCAAACTGAAAAGACAACCTACACAATGGTAAAAATCATTTGCAAACTATGTATCTGATAAGGGGTTAATATTTAAAATATATAATTAATTCTTACAGTTCAATAGAAAAAAAATCAATTAAAAAATGGGCAAAGGACCTGAATAGACATTTCTCCAAAGAAAGTTTACAAAACACCAATAGGAACCTGAAAAAATGCTCAAAATCACTAGTCAACAGGTAAATGCAAATTAAAACCTCAATATACCTCATGGCTTTTCAAATGGTCATTTTCAAAAAGACAAGAGATAACAAATGCTGGTGTGGATCTGGAGAAAAGGGAACCTCTGTGCACTGTTGATGAGATTGTAAATTGGTACAGCTACTGTGGAAAACAGTATGGAGTATAGAACTACCATATGGTCCACCTATTCCACTTCTGGGAATATATCCAAAGGTAATGAAAACGTTAACTCAAGGAGTTTTCTGCGCCACTATGTTCACAGAAACATTATTTACAATAGACAAGACATGGAAACAAATTGTTTATTGATGCCTGAATGGATAAAGAAGTTGTGGTGTATATACATAAGTGAATATTATTCAGCCATAAAAACAAGGGAATCCCATCCTTTGCAACAATATGGATGGACCCTGAAGACATTATGCTAAGTGAAATAAGTCACAGACAAAGACATCATATTGTATGATCTCATTCATGTAGAATCTTAAAAAGAAAAAACACCTCATAGAGTCAGATTTATGATTACCAGAGGGTGCGGTGGGGGTGAGCGTGAAGGAAGGAGAAATTGGAGGAAGGTGGTCAAAAGGTACAAACTTCCTGTTACAAGATAAATAAACACTAGGGGTGTAATGTACAACATGACGGTTATAGTTAACATTGCTGTATGCTATATGAGGAACTTTTTAAGAGAGTAGATCATAAGAGTTCTTATTCCAAGGATAATCTTTTTTTTTTCATTTTCTTTTTATATCTATATGTGATGATGGATGTTAACTAAGCCTATTATAATCATTTCACAGTATATGTAAATCAAACAACTATGCTGTACACCTTAAACATAATTATACAGTGATATATGTTAATTATTTCTTAATAAAACTAGAAAAAAGTCCAGCCCATATATATATCCTTACTTACTTTGGATGAATTTAGTTAGGTTACTTTTAGTGAGTCATGTTTACCTTATCTGTAAATTTTATACATGAATAATATTTGAAGGCTTTTTATAGGCTGTGTGTAAGCATTTTGCATGGTATGTTATTTCATTTATTTCTCACAAGACCCTTATGAGGTCTATAGTAGGCAGAATAATGGCTCCAATGAAGTGCATATCCTAATCTCCGGAATCTGTGAATTAATTGTGCTGCATAGCAAGAGGAATTAAGGTTGCAGATGGAATTAAGGCTGCTAATCTGCTGACCTTGTGAAAAATTAGAGTTAGCAAAATCTGTAGTAGTTTTTCCTCCTCGGTGATATAGCATCTGGGTGTAGGTAAATCCATACCCTGTTATTATTATAAGTTGATATCCCAAAGAAACAAAGAGATTAAATATGTCTTAAATTTGTTTTTAATAGAAGTCAGGGAGCTGTCCTTTGGTTTTTGTCTGGAGGGAGCCCCTTTTACACTTATCATTAGGAGTATGGTCTAGTTACCTATCTTTGTTTGGGTTTATAGCTATGCTTCTATTTTCTTTATGCTTATTAGGCTTATTCTGAGAAAGGACAAGTTCAAAAATGCTTTTTTCATTTTAACTACTGGCTTATCTGGGAGAAAGAATTTCTGTGCTTCAAAGAAGTTTTTTTTTGAAATTGTTTTTGTTCCAATAACAAAAAGGGTTTCAGGTTCACAAGATATTTGTAAGTACATCTTGCTTGTTTCAACATAGGAGGATGTAGAAAATGGCATTCAAGAGAAGACTAGAGACACTTCAAGGAATTTAGAAACAAGACAGTACTCCTAAGTGAATATTTTCCTTGCTCTCTCTTTTTTTTTTTTTTTTCATTTTATGATGTACATTTAGAGAAAACCTGAAACTGTGTCATCCTTCCTCATACTTCAAGGGCATTTCCTGCAATTCGAGAGTTTTAGTTTTTTAGTGGCTAAAGATGAAAGGAGTTTCACGACATATATTTATCTGGAAAAGTGACTGGTGCTCCATTTTAAAGTTTTAAAACATTCAAATCCTAGGAGTGCAGTAAGAGAAAGGGTGACCTGTCAGTGGAGAAGATAGA